GACCTGGCATGTTGAAAAACCAATATCATGCCATTTGTAGTGCTTGAAGTGACTTTTCACCAGTCAAGCTATAGGGCGGAGCTTATTATTAAACTTCTTAACTCATTCATTTTGAAATTTCTGAGGGAATAATTATTATAAAAATAATTGCACATTTCCAATAGATCAGTGAAGGTGTTAGTAACAGGCTAATCCAAACAGACAAGCAAAATAACATGGCTAAGAAAGCACTTTTTCATCTTACCCCACTAAGCTTGGCTTTCTGAGGTCAAAAGTAGTACGAGATGTTGGAATGTTAGTAACTGTTCCTTTCCTGAAACTATGCATAGTTTTGAACATGCATAAAAATGATAATAACATGATTTATCACTAATTGTTTACAATTTACTGTTAAATTTGTTTAAAACTTTTACATTAAAAATACCCCTGGTATTTGAATTCGGATATGGGAGTTGTACATCTCAAAGGAAATTACCCCAAAACAAGTTTAAGTGGGATTCTATTGGGTTACTACAGAGGGTTGAGTCTCACCACGCTGTTACAGTCCATATCAACATTTCCGGTCATGCTCTATTTGACTACCATACATCTTGACAATAACCTTGTAGCGTAGTTTCCATTTTAAAAGATCCGTCGTAAGGCTGTATGTCCAAAACAAATCATTCCTCCCTGCTACTTTCCATAATCTGTCTATTGTACGAGGACGACGATTTTCCAGCGCTCGTTTCGACGGTGCGATCGCACAGGAATCCATAGGCGCTGTCTTTGCATGAAATATCAGAACTATCCGATTACCTGTTTCACTCTTCAGCTGCTTTAGATGTGCAACAGTTGAACAGGAGGTATGACTGGAAGCCTTAACTTGGGAAACCCATCCTTTATTGGCCTCGTTTCAAGACGGATATTCTTTTTGATTATGTTGTGTGCTGTTGCCTGCAGTGAAACGTGGACAACTTTTGCCACTGACTTCTGTGTTCATGAATTCTCACCTGTTACAAGATGCTGCATTTTGCTTTCCACAGCTGGAGTACAGCTCCTTGAAAGTCTCTTTCCGGATGGTTCTAGTGCCCAAATTGATCCCCATTCCTTTGTTTT